TTTAATCTTGGCTCCCAGGATGGAGGGTCGAAGCAGGATGAGTTCAGACTTATGCTTCTTCTTCTCCTGCAAGGACAGGCAAAGATCGGCAATACACTAAGCATCCTCCTCCTCCCACGTCTCATCCAACTCAGAGTCTTCAAAAGTGAAAGACCCTGACAAAGCAACTCCTGAGATAGAAGAACCAGCGAGAGAATGTGAAGATTCACCTTCATCAGAAAGTGAATCAACACTGGTGGAAGGAGCCGCTGCTTCCACCTCTCTCTGCTCTAGTTTTTTTAACTAGAGTTGTCTGTAGACCTGCGAGGCATCCTTAAGAAAGTGGTCCCTCTCACATCTTAGGCAGACACCCTTGTCCTTTCTCTTCCTCCAGACCCCCTCCTGGATCCTGAGTGCATGCCAGGGGAAGGTGGAAGGATCAAGAGGGTCAGCTGGCCATCGGACGTCTCGTGGCAAAGGTACTCTCTGGGCACCAGGGGAGGAGGCACGTCCCTTTCCTTTCCCCTGTCTACTAGTTGATGCTTTCTGGGTTGGGGACTTGCCTTTTGTCAAGCCCATCAAAGCATCAGCCAGGGCAAGAACAGCAGAATCTGCAGCAGATGATGATGCAGTCCTAGGTGGAGGACTCCCACCCTGGGATGCTGCATCACTATCTGAACCAGAAGCTGCAGTAGTAAACAGGGCACCCTTCCTCCTCCTTCACCCTTTGGAGGAGGGTCCCTTCCTTCCTTCAGAAGGTGCCTCCTGAACATGGAGTTTGGACTCCAAGTCCAGGGCTGCTCTGCCAAAGGACCGCCAGTCCTTGTGGCCCTGAGAGAAAAGAGCAAGCTGGAATTGCTCAAGCGCTGCCCTGAGGAAATGAATGAGCAGATCCAGCTCACTCATCTCCAACCCACGAGTCGATGTAAGACTCTCAAAGGTGGAGTATAGCTTGGACAAGGAGCCATCAAACTTTTTCTGGCCCAGGCGCAAAATTTTATCTGCTGCTTTTCTGGCCTGCTCCTTGTCTGCAAACCGGTCCTGCAGTGCCTGCAGAAATCCAGCCACCCCCAGCCTCTGCGCCCTATCAGACATCTCCATAGCTTGCTTGCTGGAGGTGGAGGCGCACCATTTCAGTGTTGATCGTTCCAGGCGAGCAAGGATGGCTGACACCTTCACATCCTCATCACATTTGAACCCACTCTGGTAGGTTCTCTGTGCAGCAACCCAATCTGCCACATCCACCTTTGGGTCCTCGCCTGAGAACATGGGTGGCGGTGTCAGCTTAGGCCGCTGAAACTCAAATGGTGCTGAGGGTTGTGAAGCTGCTGTTGATGTGGGTGTAGGGGTTGGAGATGTGTGTTTGGAGTGTGGGGGTGATGCAGGTTTTCCCTGAGAAGGTCCAGGAGAGGGAGGAGCAGGAGAAAGGGTAGGGATCTTAAGGTGAGTAAAAATCAGATCATGTTTGGCAGAGATATCATCCAGCTTTTAAGAAAAAGCTGAGTGATTGCTTTCCTGACTGGTGATCCGGTCATCCCAGTTAGTAAAATAGGACTGGTGAATATCATCCTGCAGGAGGATGAATTCAGCCATGTCCTTATTGTACTGGCTGGAACTCCCACTGGTCCTGATCTTCTCCACATCTGTGATTAGTAACTTTTTCCTTGCCTCTTTCTGGGCTGCTTCCTCTTTCTTTTTCAGCTCGGCCTTTAGAGTCTCAACTGCCTGGGCCTGCTGGCGGAGTTTTTCCTCCTGGGCCTGCAGTTCAGCCTCTAAAGGGTCCAGCGGAATCTGAGGCTTGACCTCAGAAGCCTCTACCTTCCCTGCATCAGCCATTTTGAATCTTCCCACAATTAAGATAAATAAAAACAAACAACAATCAGAGACAAAGCAGGAGGTAACAGGAATTGAGTTTTCTCTTCAGTACTCACTCAATTGTTGTCACCTGCCTGGAGAGAGAAGATTGGTTAGTCTGAGCAAGTGAGTGCTCAGTCTCAGCAAACCGCCTGAGGGTCAGGGTCAGTTCAGAGTCCACTCAGGCAAAAACCAATTTCACGATTTTTCCATCCCTGCCCTGACACCACAATTGCATGCAATATTGCAAATCCTAGATTAACAATTGACAGGATGCAGTCTTGGACTAATTAGTGTTGATTAGTAATTATACAGAGTGACTAATTAGGGTTAGACTAGTGTCCACTGATGACCGAGATGCAGCGATTTACAGGGAACCCTATTTTTAGACCTACCCTACAGACCTCACCACTGTACGACCCTGTATGCCATACCCTGGGTGTGGTGAATTACAGTTTTCACTGTAACTGACTCAAAACATCAAATCTGGATGTGCAATTTCAGACACTGACTGAATATTGAATTGCGATTTACCAGGGACTTACATAACTGAATTCTGACGGACAGAATCAAAGTTATGACTAACCCTGGTCTAGCCTGGCTTTAGTTATGTCAGTGCAGAATTCAAATTTGCATTATCACTGACAACAAACCCCTGAATTCACCAATTCACTACACAGTGTCAATCGCAATACTGTAAAGCAGTCCCAGATGAAATATGAGCCAGAGGAAAGGTCAAACAGGGTTATTAGAAGTCAAAGAAGATAGGTAGGGGAAGTTGGATATGGCTGTCCCACAGTCTGAATTTCGATTTTCAACTGTCAACTAACAGACAGACCAAATTTCGCTATTCTAAAATAGCCCCAGAATCGCCACACAGGATGGAGTAAGGAACACACTTACTTCAGGGTCAACTCTGAAGAAGATGCATGAAACCCTAGCTATGGCTGACTGGCCAACCCCATCTCGCCAGTTTCATCTCCTTACAGTATCCAGTGTTCCCACGTACCAAATCGCCTGAAACTTGGTGATCCAGTAGATTACCCTAAGGCGCTTCACCCCCAACTGACAGAATCAATCAATGAAGACTCCCAAGTGCCAACAACTGACAAAGTCAATGCAGCGCCACATCACCCTGCACTGCACTGCTTGGAAATTGGGGATCCTGACCCAATTCCACAATCGCCACCTCCTGGGATCACTTCCTTGACAATCGTCAGTCTCCAGATGAATCGCCAAGCTAAATTTAGCCTTTCAGAGCCTCTCAGGCCTCTATGAACTAATCGCCAACCACTCTTGCACAACTCCCGTCAGGAGTGAGTCACCCTCTGCCCAATTCTTCTCGCCACACACTCACAACCACCACCCTTACTGACAACAACCGTGAAGATGATGAATCACCATGAGACTCAACTCCAGTATCTCGCCAGATGATGATGGATGCTCCAACTCATTAATCGCTCCAAAGCCTGGATCCAATTGCTCCGATACCAACTGTTATGATTCTGGTTGTTTGTTGCCTGAAGGCCAACACTCACTCACAGAGACTTCCAGGTATGCCCATACATACACAGAAGGAAGGGGAGAGGA